CAGGCGCACGCGCAGGCGCCGGCGCACGCGCAGGCGCCGCGAGGAAGCGCGCGCAGCGCAGCGTTGCTGAGAGGCCCGGCGCCGGCCGTTGGCGACCGTTAGCCTTCCCCGGCGGCCGCCATGGTGCTGGAGAGCCTGGCTCGCATCGTCAAGGTGCAGCTGCCCGCGTACCTCAAGCGCCTCCCTCTGCCCGAGAGCGTCAGCGGCTTCGTCCGCCTCACAGGTAGGCAGCGGCGGGGACGACCAGGCGCCCCGCGCAGGCGTTTGCGGCCCCTGCCGGGAAGCGAGGCTGCCCCGGGGGCGCCGTGGCGGGCCCCGGTGGGTGGGGGGCGGCTCCGCGCCCCGCCTTGGTGCCCCTGGGCGAGCCGCAGCAAGCAGGGGCCGCGCCGGGGCGGCGAGGCGCGCAGCGAGGGGCGCTTGCAGCCCTGCCTCTTCCCTCCTTAAAGCAGGAGCGAAGCACGGAGTCGGGGCTGAAGTTCTGGGAGGCCTCCGCATGCACACCGCGAGCGAGGGCTTCCATTCATTTGTTTATTTATCCCCTATTCGGTCATTTTCCTAAGCAGTTTCAGAGGGAGGAAGGGAGGGAAGGAAGAAAAAATACCTGTCAGCCATAGCTCTATGCATCAAGTAAGTGGGTAAGGAAAATAATAATAATAATAATAATAATGCTTAATGATAGCAAGCCTCGAGGGTGTCCAAGGCAGCTCAGAGTTGTTCCTCAGTATTTTGAGTGCTGCAACCCTCTAAGCCCCACTCCAGCTCTGGCTCTAGTGTATCAAATGGCACAATTAGCTTGACAATAAAAACATAGAGACTGTGACAGAAACTCTTTGGAAATTCTTCTGCATGTAGGATTATTCCCATATGTTCCATTGCACCACTAAGCTACACAGCTTCAGCAGTGCTGGGGAACAGTTTCCACTAAAACTTATTTCAACTTCTGTAGAACCAGGTCTGTATATGGGTTTTTTTTTTTTTTCTCCTTTTCCCAGCGTGCGTACGTTCCTTTTATACTTAAGAGTTACATGAGATATCTTGTTACCTTTGCTAAGATGAGGAAACATTTTTTTGTGAACTGTTCTTCTCTCTCCCTCTCTAYGCTGTCATCTGAACCAATGCTATTAATTACATTTATCCAATAGAGATTCAGCTGCCAGAAAATTTGGAAGAGATACAATAAGCTACTGTAAGCAAAGGAGCTTCTCATTTCTCTTATGTTTGTCCATTCCCTACTTAAGTTACTGCACTTTTAAACACAACTGCGCTATTTCTTAATACTGCTTGCCTTCAGTGTCTACATACCTTGCTCTTACTTACCAGGGAAGAAATATACTCCTGTAATGGGATTATGGTCTAGTCCATGCACATGTAGTGTGCATTGTGCACATTACATCCATCTTTAGGGCACAGGTGATAGGCATCAGAATTATTGTTAAACTTGTCTCTTATGTRTAAGAAAGAAATGCTTTTTAAAGCTTAAGTGTATATTGCGGATGAAAGTTTATGCTAACTTGCCTTGGGAAGTCTTCAACTTAAATAATAGAACTWATTCTGAAAACCTCTAGTCAGAACTTTTTGTTTCTTTCATTGTTTTTAAAAAAATGATCTGTAGGGAAAAAATTGGTTTGCCTGCATATTGTTTACCCCGCTGACAGATACACCAGCTTGAATCTGAAGGCAGGAAGGAGGAGAAGCAAACCRACATAGCCTTCAACTGAGACCAAACACATGAAGTTTCAGTTTCAAAAATATTAAACATAAGTAAAAGAAGGAACTAAAGCAAAAAATGCTTTGATACCTGGTAGGAATCTTCTGGATGTACTTGAAGAAAWCCACTGTCTTTAATTCTTTGTGTTTCTTTTGACTGCTCCTGTGTTGAACCACTCTGAAAATGAGGAATAAAGTATAATTAAGTATATATAGCTACAGTGGCAAAATTCTGAGCTTTAGCACCTTTAAGTAAAGGAAATAAGAAGGTTTTATACTACCACTGAATAGGCCTATAAGCTTAAAATCCTCTCATCTTTGAAATCTTTGAAATCCTCTCATCTTTGAAAAGTCATTGAAACCTTACATGCATTTAAATATGTTTCTACTCATCAATACCCAGACCTGCATAAATCTAAAGTTTTGTCTTAAGAAAACTGGATTGTCTCACTCTGACATGTGCAACTAAACGAGACACTGATTAAGAATTGAGAATACAGATTGCAGGACAAGGTAGATATTTCTCCATATGATACTCTTCATTTAAAAAAAAAACCCAAATGTCCACAATTTAGCATCACTTTGGAATCACTCTGTTCCACCTCTTTCTCATTGTTGGTGTTGTCCTACCTTGCCCTTTCCAAAGGTCATAAGCCTCTAAGAGCAGAAAATCCCCAATTTTGGGAATTACTTCAGAGTTGCAACTTTATAAAACTCACTGTTTTATAAATGGATTTCTGCCTTTAAAAATCACATTTCCCAGTATGAGGAACACATGCAGCATATAAGTATTTTAAACCGGGAGAAAAAAAAAAAAAGTAATTATAGAGATTGCATCATTAGAATTATGGTTGATGATATGCTACTAGACAAACGAGGATAAGAAAAAAAATAATTATCTTTTGTGTTTACTGCTACCTACAAATTACAGAATATTATATTCTTTGGCAAACAATGTATCAAACATCATGCAACTTCCTTCGCTTCTTTTTGGAAGATGACTAATAATATAGATTTTAAAATGCCGTAGTGTTATTTGTCCTTTCATGTCGGCTGGTAAACTTCAGACAAGGACCAGCTCTATAAAACACTTGCTGGCATTGAACTTGTATGCAAAGACAGGCCAGGACCCAAATCTAGAGCAATATAGTGCTTTTGTTATTAGCCCCACCATTGTTTCTATAAACCTTCATTAGCTCCCAGGTAGAGGCAATCTCAGTTCCCCTAATACTTCCAAATAACAATAATAATTCTATAGAAATGGCAGACTAAAACTACAGAGAAGGGCCTTTTGTATGTGATACTGTACTGTGTTAAAAAAAAATCATCTTGAGACACCTATTGTGTGTTGTGGTATGACTGAACTGTAATGGAAAACTGCTTGCTTGGGAAAGGCAGATGCTTAATGTCCAGTGCTAAACTTCTGAAGGGACAAGCAGTCAGTGAGGAAGGAAAGCATATGTTTGACCTTGGGTTTGATACCAGATATCTAAATCATCATGCTGCTGCTGCTCTGAAGCCTGTTTCAGTTTGTTGTCATGACCGCTTTACCCTCCCCTTCTCAAGTTCACTGAAACGAACGGAGTTGTCTCGTGCTGACTTTGCTTTTTATGCRGGCATGTTTCATTAAAGCAGCTTGGACCATGACCTCAAAGTAACATGGTCAGAAGTAACAAAAGGAAATGTCAAGGCCTCGTAGAGAACCTAGTTGCTAAATACATGTCCCTTTCCCTAAACGCGACCTAGTACACCCTGTGGGCTGTTGCACACCTGGACTGCATGTTAACAGGACAGTTTTGTGGATCGTCCCTAATGGTACTGGGGGAAAGGACAGGGAGACTACAAGAAATTTTTAGAGTGCCTTTGAAAAATGATTACTGCTGTACTGCAGCAACACTTAGCAAATTCTGTAATATTGCCTTGTGCATGGGGCCATTGAAAGTGGAGGGGTGGAAGGACCCCTCTGCTTGCATGCAGTTGTGGAGCATTCTCAGGCAGATGCAATAAATAGGGTTTTACTTCAAAGACTATAGAAAGCTTAAAGAAGATAAAACTATTCCCATAAAATATCTTCATCATATGGTGTACTTTCAGAACATTCAAGTTAGAAAAAGCCATTGCATTCTAACTAGGATATTACCATTAACAGGTGTTTTATTATTGCAAATCAAAATAGAGCTACACAAAGTAGTGTGATTTTCTTTTTAGACCCCACAAACTACCTAGCATTCTTTGCCTGCTATATTGTATTTCCTKTCTTTTGCATCTTGAAAAAAAAACTTTGGCTAACTTCAGATCCTAAAGCCTTTGAAGGGGAACTAAAGGGAACTATTTATGCTTTAGTTCAGTACAGTTCTTTGTTTCTAGCTTTGAGATATCTTTAAAATCCCTTTCTCTTCTCTGTGGCTTAAGATTTAATATATTCTCTACCACATTAGAAAAATGCTGCCTCCTCATTGCTACATTGTACTTCAGTTGCACTGGAGTATTTCCACAGCTTCTTTTGTTGAGAGCAGATCCACCATTAAGATACTTACTGCTTTGYTATATTTTATACTAGGTGCTGATAAATTTCTTAAAAAGTTCAGTAAGTCCTTACTTAGTACGTCTGAAAGCTTTATAATGATGCAGCATGGCAAGTATGTCTGGAAAGGATTCTTTAATCTTTTATCTGTATCTAAAAAGTTCTTCAGCAAGATTTAAAAAAAAAAAGTAGCTGACCTACCTCGATAGACCTATCTGATTTCAGATCTCCTTTTCTTTGCATATCGTAGAAGCTAGTTGCAGGTCCTCAGGGAAACACAGCTCTGAAGAGCAAAATCAGAAAAAAAAGAATGGTGAAAGCTTGCCACTCGAATACTGCTTTTCTAGTATAAAACTCCACAGAACTAATGAAATGAGGAAAACTCAAAAAATTGCAAATCTGAAATAAGCAGTTCTAAATAGATTTATGAGGCATACTTAATAGTTCTTCTTCTTATCCATAATGTAAAACACAAACAGTACTCACCTTCTAGTTACCTCCTATATTAAATCATACCYAGTGGACTAATACGTAGTGTTGAATTACTGCAAGTAAGCAAACCACCTACATAAGTTTAAGGTTTGTCATTATTGTACATCTTTTATTAGTTTTGGATTTTTTTTTTCTATCAAGAGTCATCTTCTAGAGCACTGAAATTCTGATATCTAGTTTGTACCSTAACTACAGTAAAGCCCACATTTTCAACTGGGGCTTCTGCACTACTGTTCTGTCCATGTCCCAGTTTTACTTCTTATTGATACAACCTGAGATCCCCACTCCCTATCCTATACCTAAATCATTTAAGAGTAGCTGATGCTCATCTATACCAAAGGGGTGCCAACAACCAGACTAAATTCCCTGTTTCTTTAGTTTCAGAATGGCTGCGGTTATTGCCTTTCCTCGGTGTGCTGGCTTTGCTTGGTTATCTCGCTGTTCGGCCGTTTCTCCCCAAGAAGAAACAGCAAAAGGATAGCTTGATTAACCTCAAGATCCAGAAGGAAAATCCTAAAGTAGTGAATGAAATAAACATTGAAGATCTGTGCCTCACAAAAGCTTACTGCAGGTGTTGGCGTTCCAAGACCGTAAGTTACTTCTCTGTGCTATATTTAGATTAGACTGAACTTGCATATTTTTCACCTTTTCATATTGGAACACTTTACTTGGCTCTGGGGGGTGCAGCTGCTTTGAAGATTGAACAGTTCTTCCCTTTCTCCACTTCATGTTAGAGTGGAAAGTTTAGAATAGAAGGAATGTTTACAAAGTTATCCATATTAGAATGAAAGTAATGCTGGACTTGCATTGAGGATGGTGAGCATATCCTTGCCTGGTCCAGCGTAGTGCACAGGTAAGTCCCACTTGACTTTGAATGCTGCATAGCTACCAGATCAASTAGCTCTTAAGTCTTTTTCCTTTACCTCCACTATTTTATGAAATCTTTCATGCCTGTTTTGACTGCGAGTCCAATAACACCTGTTTTAGGACCTCGCAAACATTGTTACCGTGGTAGCAAAGTGTTTTTTCTTGGCRATGTGTATGACAGGTGTTTTATAGAAGACATTTAAATGGAAAAGGACATAGGAGAAAGAACAATAAACTTTATCAGAATATTCCTAGCATGAGAAGAACTATTAAGAGAAAACAAACTATTTAAGTGGGCAACAGAGATTATATTAATTCATCCTCTGTGTTTTCTTCCAGTTCCCTGTCTGTGATGGCTCTCACAACAAGCACAATGAATTAACAGGAGATAATGTAGGTCCACTAATACTAAAGAAGAAAGAAGTATAGCAGATACCTAATCTATTAGATTATGACTGATTCATCTTTTATATACTTGTAGTTGTAGGAGATTACATTTTATTATGTGATTAGATTGATTTAGTCTAAYGATTGCTGTAGATCTCTTTTTGGGATAAATTCCATTTAGACAGTGCTTGATCTCACTGTTTTGATACTTWATTCTKWWMAGAATWAAGTCTGCTGTGTAAAACAAAGTAATTATCTCTGTAAATAAGTTGTTGATTTCAAAAATAAAATGACTTCCTACAATAAAGCCTTTTCTGTATAAGCATACAGTTATAAAAATGTCACTATTTCTAAGTGACAGACCTGTACCTTTCTGGCTTTTTTTTTTTTGATAGGTAGCCACTTTATAATTCTGGTTTTCAGGAACAATTTCAAGTGTGGGATAATGTTACAGTTCCAGGCTGTATAAGCTAAATTACTGYACAGGTCAGTTCCCAACACTGTCACTCTCTTTCAAACCCCTATGTTGATTGTTAGAGTCCGATTTACAGATTGAGATTTGTTCCTTACGTACTTTCCTCACACTGCAGATACATCTTCTTGTAGTATTGTTCTGGAAGGAACTGGTTAAGTGACAGAGACAGAAGAGTGGAGTTGAGCTGGAGTCATGGCTTGTTACTGGTTTACACAGAGCTTTGCTATAGTACAGCTGAATTTAAAGTGTGGGTACATAATTGTTACCCCAGCTAACAGCTAGGCTTTTAATTAYGTCTTCTCAAGTGCTTTATTCTGCAATGAAGTACTACCCGTTTAAAAATAAGTAGTTTGATATATTGTTTATACTACAATTTTAGACAATGGTACTAAGAAAGGGCTCAGCTGTTCTTTAACTCCAGTTCAAATGATTTGGTGGGAAGCCCCCAGAGCAGTCTGCATTGCCTTWCTCCAGAGCTTATTAACCCAGCCGAACAACAGAAACCAAGTCTTACTGCAACAGAAAGCAGTTCTCACATCCTGGCTCTTACAGCACTGGAACTAACAGTAAACCTGACAGCATTTGTAAGTGTTTGTAGGTATCTAACAGTCTGTCTTTGCACCAAAAAAGGGCAGATGAGGATGTGAGTGTATGTTAYATGCAAGTATTTCATTGTACCATGGTACAAGTCTTTGTTTTAATGCTTTGTGTTGGTCTTATCTTCATGAATGAGAACACACATGAACAYTATCTTATTAGAACACTTAAAGTCCATAATGTTACCAGATGTCTKATACTGTATTCAAATACTACTTAGAGGTGCATTATAGCAAACACTATCTATAAACAGTACTCAGTGAACCCTTGTTAAATCTTTAAAGCAAGTTTTGTAATTGTAATCTCTAASAGTATTGAGTCCAAGCCCAAATTCTTGGCTGTGCTAGATGAAACATACAACTGTTGAGACAATGTTTTTGAGCTCTGCAATCCCCAGCCTCCTGCAAGCCACTGTTGATATATACAAGCCTGCATGCATTTCCAGCTTTTACCAGAGCGTTTGCATTCAGAAAAAAATTGATTGTCCCACATTTGTGAATAAAATGAGTCAATCTTCTGTATTCAAGTCCTTTGCTGTACTTGAACAACTTTGCTACAGCAGCACAATAAAATTGATTTTGTTCCCCCTACCAACAAAGCTCCTCTAAAAGGGAAATGACAGATTGACCTCTTGATTCCATCTCTAACAGGGCCCCCTCTAACAGGGCTGATTTTCTCTCCACTACTGCTAGAGGAGAGTGCTGCTAAACCATCTACAAAGGTGGTTATGAAACAAGTAGTTTGGGGGTTGTTTTTTTTCTATAGGCAAGTGGAACACGTATACAGTAGGTGCCTGCAACAGCAGTACTTAGTCACCATTCCTTTCAGGAAGGACATTTCAGTCATTTGCACAAATAATAAAATTAAAATCACAGGAAAGATAATAACCATTTCCTCGCATTTCAAGGTCTGTGAAGGTAATATGTGCTCTCATGGCTCTTACTGCATTCAGAGATTCCCATCTTACCTAACATAGGCCTGCTTCAACACCCTGCTAGGTGCAGAAAAGCTCCCTATACATCTGGTTTATACATGCTCTGGGGTTTATTTTAATATCCTTGGCAGAACAAATCATTTAATCTTCTGCAAATGCCACCTGCAACTGTGCTATAAAAACAAAGTAAAACAAAAGCTTAACAAGGCTGGTTGTAATATTTGCACTGCAGAAAACACAAACCAGGACTGCTGCTACTTTTGGTTACGAAGTCAGATTTCTCTTTCTGCCTACCTGCCAGCTGGAAATTGGCRTGCAGTATGCTGATGTCACAGCAGTGCTGCGGAGGGTAGCAAAGTGTRCTCCAAGATAAAGGAGAAAATGCCACCAACAGCTACAGGCATCACTCCTGTCCTTGTGCTCCCTCTGTCTTTGGAAGTAAAGCCTCTGTAACAACAGCTTTTGTCAAGTTAATGAAACTTGCTCCAACAATGACTTTGCAGCACCACACAGGATGGGTTTGGCCGATTGATGCTGCAGGCAGCTTGGATTCTTCATCTGCAAGCCATGCATGGGACATTTCATTATCAAGTTGAACACTGTGCTGAAGGGGAAGAAAACAAGCACATTGCTGGATCCTGTAACAGCCACGCTGTGCTTTGAATGTGCATCTGAAATGCTCTTATTTTGATTGCATAACAAGGTTAAGTAATCAGTTAATTTTTGATTTCATTTTAAGATTCCATCTCACACAAAGCATTACTAAGCTGATTGTATTTCAGTTCTTACCCATCACCACCATCTTAAGGAATGTGTCTGTGGAGCTCTCTCTCTCACTGATAARAATGGCTTTAGCTAGTTATTCACAAGGATCTGTCTTAGCACTGCATGACTATGCCAGTCTAATTTGGGGGTCTACATACTGAGATAAATTTGTCTGTAGCTCTAATAAGGACCAAGACAAAAGCAGTGGAGCAGATTCTTCTCAGACTCACTGCAAAGTCTGGAAAGACAGGACTTTGTATGACATAATGCACCTTTTCATTCTACTAGAATACTAGAGGTTGCTTTTTTTAATTATGAATTTGAACAGTGGTTGTACTGAGCTTACAAATAAACTTGTAAAAAAGAGAAAAGTGTTTAATTTGTGTCAAATATTAAATGTATTTGAACTGGCACAAGCTAACTAAGAACTACATCATTCATTGCATCATGGCCACATTATCCCATATGCTTTGCAATTAATTTTATACTTCAGTGCTCAGTTTGACTGAAAAAGAGAAAACAGTGATTAGGCATGTTTACATTATCACTCCATCCCCTGGCCTGTGCGAATTCCTGCTTCCAGATGGCCAATTTCTGTCTTTTTCCATATGCTGCCTGCTTTAAGTGCCACCACAGGCTGCCAGGAGCCTGCGGTGCCGCAGAGCCTTCTGCTGCGGCGGCTGCCATGAGCCTCGCGGGGCTCCTGAGCCCGGAGCGCTCGGGGCTCCTGTGCCCGCTGCCTCTGTGCTGAGGTTGGCCTCGAGGCAGGACTCCTGCACTCACCCTTTACTGCACGTTGCACCCTCATTTTAGTTGCTGCAAATGAGGGACTCTAAGAGAGCAGCATATAGATTTTATGGGCATCAATTTGCGTTATCCATGAATGAATTCATGACATTTTGCTAAAAGGGAGGTGGTCTTAATTGTTATGACTCTATCATCTCAAACTCAGATCAAAAAGTTCCTATATCTTAAAATTAACCTCTGCTTAAAAACGGATTAAAAAAATAAGTATTGGGACTGTTTTGAGAAGTTAATAGGTTCTCTTAATACCAATACYATTTCACTTTTTAGGGAAAGAAATAAGTGGCTTGTTCCCCACTGCAAGACAAWGGAGAAGCACCGTAAAGCATTAATGCTTTTCATTTTAGAGCTGTAGGACTACATAGGGCTGGTTCTGTAAGGAGATTGTGTTCCAAGCAAAAGGGCTACAGTCCTTACCCTTCACACTTCTGCTGCTGAACAGACCCCAGCTTTGGCAGAGTGATCTTTCCCTGCAGTAAGATTCTGCTCTCTGAAACATTTTAAAAATTAATAAACAAATCACACATACAGCTTCAGCCATCATTTACTTCCATGTGAAATGTATTGTTTTACAAACAGCCACAGATGAACTGAACACTAAATTCCCACATCAATTAGGTAACCACTCCACCTTTGTTTTCCATTTCCAGATAGATAAAGCTACTATTAAAATAGCCCCTACTTAAGTAACTGAGTGCCTCCATTAGCTACTCCAAGGGCAGGAACACGCTCAGAAGTCAGTGGTTGATGCAGTACCCATGAAGTGCAGCACAGCAACCTTTAATCATCCYGCACAGCCTCAAAGCACCCTCCCTTCTGGTCAGGGGATGGGGATGGACTGAACTAGCTAGGGATTGTATATTCCCTATGCAAGGGGAGAGAACAGCGACACATATGGTAAGGAAACTCAGTGAAAATTTAATAGCTGGACTTTACAAACGTCTGCAAAAAACTTACCATAGAACTTCCTGGTATTTTTAATCACTGTACTGGAGTTCCAAGCTTTCTCAGGAAGTTATTTTTGTTTGGAAAGAAAGGCACATACAAAAAAAGGTGTGTGCGTGCACACACATGCACACAAACACAGAGCACGCTAACTCTTCTGTATACACAGATATAAATATATGCTCTACAAATAATACAGTTTCAGAAATGCCTGCCTAATTCAGAAGTCATGTTTCTTAAGCCTTTGAACTTGTCATCTGATGGCCCAGTTTCAATCACCAGGAGTTATATCATGTTGATTTTAATTTTTTTCCCCTATTTGAATTCCATCTCTCTGCACCACTCCATGCCTCAACAATTCAGATCCTCTTCCTGACCTCACACCCACACATTTCAAATAACTGTTGACTGCTAACCTCTCTAGTGACTCACTGTCCGGCCAGCCTAGTCACTGTATGTTTAGCTCACTCATCCCTTAAGGCACCATCAACAGTTAAAAATATTTTAGAAAAACTGTTTTAAAAACATGTCTCTAAACTGTTTTTAAAATAGCAGATACAACTGATTAGTGGTTTTGGTTTCCTCCAGAAAGACTGAACATGCGTGGTGTTTACTCAGCAAACATAGCAGGGGCTGAAGGTCTGTATTTCCACATGCGTCTTTCTTACGAATGTTCACACATCTCTGGCTCTTCTCCAGCCTCAACACCTTCCTCATCTTTGTTCTTATTTGGTTGAGCCTTCTGCAAAAGTCTGGGTCCTGCCAAGCCAATAGCCAGGGCTCCAATTGGAGCTGTGATCAGGATGGCCAGGAAAGCTATTGTCAGTACATCCATTCCATAGTTTTCCAGCTGCTCATCCTGATGTCTTCTTGCAGTATCCAGAGCAAGGGAGCCTATTGCAGCCTGCAGGAAAGAGAACTGCTCAGATGCAGAAGTAACTATTAGCATTGAGAGGAGAAAAGGGTTTTATCATTCAGTTCATACTTAGTACATGACAAACTTTGTCTTTAATGTCTTTAATTCATTCATCTACTTCGCTTCTAGGCACAATGTAAAAAAGTAACGATTATATTACATCTCTGGTAATGATTTTCACTTGACTACTCTTTCAAGGTGCTAAACTAATGGGTTGGTAGCCCTCTCTGAAAAACACTTCTGAGCTGTCATGTTAATCCCACTTCTGGGAAAGGGATCATTAACAAAACGGACCTGTATATCTCATATTGCAGCTGTGAAAAAGCTGTATCTTGAGAAYAGGTCCTGATGGTAGTCAGCTAGTAGCAATTTCTGAAAGTTTAGTTTATAAAATTTGCAATATTAAATATGCTGCTTTATTTGTGTTTGCAAATAACTATGCTATTGAGACAAAGTCCTAAGGGACCCAAGATCAATGATATAAAAAACCCACAATCTGCCTCAGGCTTATCTAGCAATAACACTGTAAAGGTCACCTGTTCTTAAAAATGCTACCTCTTCTTAAAAATGCCACAAACTAAAACCCCTTCTGAGCCTCTACTTGCGACCATTCCAGCAGACAATTCATGTACTGCCAGATAAAAACTCCTAAAAATCTGTATGTAAAGCCAAAACAATCTGCTATATCAGCTACAATCACGTCTACAATCTACATATACAATATACATATACATATGTAGCTGCTATATCAGCTACAATCAATATCTACAATCAAGTCTGTTTGTACATTTTGTTGGCATTGAAAAGAGTAGGACCTCAGATACAAGCAAAATGCCCTTACACTGCACAGAGGAAGCCTCCTTGCACTTCCTCAGTAGACTTAATGCTGAGCTATTTAGATTATGAACAACACAAATACTACTTGTCAGCTGTTAATGGGCTTCTTCTCCCAGTCTACTTTGTTGTTAGCCAGGCAAAGTTCTCCTAAGGACAGGAAATACAGTGTGTAATGGAAGCAATGGCTTGCTTTACCTGGACAGTAGCTTTGGGCATCCAGGCCAACGAGACAAATACTTTCTCCTTGAAAGTAAACCCAGCAAAACACACCATCAGGAACGTGACTAGGATTCGTACGACAAGGGCAATGCCTAATGTAGCAATACAGAGTCCTATAAAGACAAAACCTTTGTCAGCACTACTGCACAATGGTGTCTGAGTGGAATAAGCTTCGTAACGTGCATTCAACATACATCTTAACCACAGACTGGACACTACTAACGGGCTGGATAACTAGTGAATGATCTTACCAACAGTTTCAGGCCTAAGCGACGTAACAGATACTTCTGCTCCAATCAAACCAAAGAGAAAAGGCTGAAAGATGTTCCATGCAACTGCAACAATTTTTTCTACTGCCCTCTGCAACAAAAAATGGAGAAAAAAATCTGTAAATTCATAACCTGGACAATTGCACACAACATTCAATTAATCAAAAGACCTAGGTAAAACATATCATAAAGACTGGTCAGACTCTCAGTTTATGATTAACTTTTGACATAGGCTAAAAGGTCTAGGGTTAGATGTACACCTTGCAGAGGTCAGAGTATTGAGTTCTCTCAGTAAATGAGTATTTACTCTTTTAAGAGAACAGAGGGGTGCGAAGAGAACACTGATGTATGAATAATAACAAAGCAGTTGTTAAACTAGAAAAAAGTAAAATACAACTGAATTTCCACAAAGCTGCTTGTTCCTCCATTTATGCCTTAACAAGGTCAAATCTTCATAAATTTCAGTACCAGCCTCTCTCTGATCCTACTGCACTCAGTTGGAGGTCTTGCTCCAAGTGAACAGGAACAAAGTTAGGCTAAGGAAAACTGAAATTCCACCTTAGTCAAGAGTATTGAGTTTTTAATGGGATGTGCAAGTACAAAAACACTCTTTGTTTAAACTTCACACTTGCTTTGTGAAGAGGTGCATTTTTACATTTAAAAACTTTTTTTTAAATTAAGTGGATTCCACAATAGCAAATGGTGTCCAGGACTGAATGTGTTAAAGTGTGGGGCTCTAAGGTCCTAAGCATTTTCCTCGTTTTCTCATTTCCCTAATATTTTACCACTTAAAAAAAAAAATTCTGCTTACTGCCCATCTATTTGCTTTAGCATTGGGAACACTGTTCCTTGCTTTCTGTGGACTATGCTTGCTAAGCTGCTTCCACCAGGACTGGTACAGTACAGTGTACAAGACAGCCTGGGAGAAGGTCAGTACCCAGCAACACACCAACTAAGCAGTAGGCAGACCTCTTCGAATGTATCTGATAACAGTGTCTAAAATAAGCRCATAAGTGAGCTCCTCTCTGTCAGTATATGTTACGCTTCATATGGATACTGAGAGACAAGGACAGCAACTTCCAGTCATACTAAGTGTCCCCAAATTGGCACAGAATAAAGCTTAAATCTGTACATTCTGAATCTGAAAGCTTTGTCAATGCACTGTTGTTGCTCCTGCCAGAAGACAAACTCCTTTGGTGTGGCATGCTTATTTGTAGGAACATTTACCTTGTTGTCAGACCATCCAACCCCAGCAACAAATGCTAGAACTAACGTGCAGAGCCCTCCTGATCCAGGGAAACCAAAGCGGGTGCTGCCAAAAACAGCAAACATGGACAGACCCAGAACAAAATACGATCTCTTCCATGCCAGAGATGCCTGCAACAAAGGAAAGAAATGAACAAAAAAAAAGGTTTAGAAACAAAGTAAAAAAAGGTTACATATCATTTTAACAATAACAAAGGATACAATAATGAAGGGATCAAAACTTTCAAGTAAGATGAATTATTTGTTTGGGCTGAGGGCTTGTAATTGCTGGAAAACTAACATTCTGGAAACTTAATGTTTCTTCTTCTCCTCTGCCCATCTAAAAACTCAGTGCACAAACTTCTTTTTCTACCACAAAGAACATAATGTTCTGTTCTCACATCCCTAATTCAGCTCTGTGATAACTGTACAGTCAAATACTAGAACAGTTTATCCAAAGAGGGGTGGAATCCTTGCCACTAGATGGTTTTAAGGACAAGTTGAACAAACTTCTGTCAGGAATAGTCTAAGTTTATTTTATCTAGTCAGACAGTTACATCATATGAACTCTGCAGTTCTGCTCCATCATTTTTATCAGGTGGGCTCCTCTGCCATATTTTTAGTATTATTTAGTAAGAAGAAAACTTGCTTCCACAGAGGGCATTAGATGCTTTGCAAATTGATCTCAGCAGGCCAGAACACATCTACTTTCTTCTACAAATTTACGTTCAGTTARTCACCACTTAATATCAAATTAATCCATCACATAAAATACAATTTTCTTGAAGGCAACACATTCTAATTACTGTTACTGATACGTGAAATTACTTAAAACACATTATCTGTTCTGCTCCTTTCTGCTCTTGTATCTGCTGGAAATGTCTAATGGAAGCACTTTTGAAGTATATCAGCCCTAATTTTTACTGTGTGAAAGAGCATTCAGACTCCTCCCCACATGAGTGGAAGTTTCCACTGCTTCAGTGGGATCAGAATGGTGAGCTGGGGTTCCAAACTCTCCATTAAAAAGGACTCTCAGATCATGTGTTAGTATTGCAAATAAATAAACTATTAGAAAAGAAATCAGAGCTTCATTTACAATAGCAAATTTATCATYTGGAAGCTGTTAGTATAAGTTTTGGGTGCTGTTTTCACCCAGAACAGCACCATTATAAGCTTGGAAATTAGTAATTTAAGAATAGCAATATTTTATAGAAAACTACCTGTTTCCCCAAAAGAAACATTTTAAAATTATTCTTAGTTTTCACCTGATCATGGCTTGGGAAGTACCGAAGAAACATTCCCAGAATGGCCCCTGCTGCTGTGCCAACCGCCACCTCCAGCACTCCRCGGAGCACGTTGTACAGAGTAGAACCTAGTGGCAAAAGCAGAACGAGTTCAAGGACTCTAATGCAAGGGACCCTCCAGTCACAAAAGCTGCTGGACCTAKGAGGGTGTTTAAATTATTTGAGAGTAAAGGGTTCCAGGAGGGAATGTATAGATCTGGAAGAACCTGATGGTGCATTTCTCCCTTTGCAAGCTTCATGCCAAGAAAGTGCGTCAGAGAGAGGAAGAGCCACTGCCAGAGCACATCCAGGCCCCGGGAGGACTGAACGCGCTTACGCTGGGCCTGCAGGGTCCAAGCCTATCAGCCCACAGAGCCAGAAATAAAGATCTCCCAATGTTTTGTGACCCACAGCTTCAAGAGTCAAGTTACACTAACACTTTTATATGGGGATATTAAAATAATTTTTTTTCAGCCATAACAGAACAAGAACTCCTCAAAATATGAGGGTTTGTTCTAGCCTTTCCCAGCTGCAGAGAAACAAGCATACCAGAAGAGAAAGCTATTCCAAGGCAGGTGTTGAACCCTGTAATGGCCAGGATGTCATCAATGCTGCCAGCAGCCATCAGCAGGGTTGGGACACCCTTTTCCACGCCATAACCCCCTGCTTGTAATGTCAGCATTGAAGGCACCACAACAGCAGGGGAAACGGCACCTAGAACAAATCTGAAAACACATGGTTTCTCTTCACATTCTGTCTTTAACAGAACAAATAAAAAAAACAAGTCCTCAAAACTTTCTGACCCTATTCCTTTTAAAGCATAAGTACACAGACCTTTGAGACATTATCTTTCCCTGTTAATTATGAAGATATTTCTATGCAGTTTTAAAGTCAACTTTTACTTCCTGTCAGCTCAAAAGTATTGAAACAGAGCTCCATGGACTAGGMCTTTAGTCTACACTGCCAGCCAGGCGTGTTCCCTGATATAGCTCATGATTTTCCAACTAGGAACCTAACCTCATRGCTATGACTTGGGACCCTAGTTCCTTCTCATGAAGGAAATCAGTGTGTGTTAGAAGAATGTCATTCTTCCTCTTCCAATATATATGTCCTGACCAAGTCTACAGTTCAGACAGAACCTAAATGGAAAAGGTTTCCTATGATTAATATTCCAGTATTTAACATGCCATATTCTTACTTTCCAGTGGCAGGGAGGGTAGGGTATAGGCATCTCTTCAAGTGGATATTTTCAATTTCAGCACAAAGACTCTCCCCAATGTGGTACTATTCTTGGTCCTTAAAGGCTCTCTGTGTTGTGGTTAAATATCCAGGGATTGCCCCACCCTTCTTCCTTCTTTAAGTGCTCAGATCACAAACAAAGCAGAGTAATGATGTAAGTACTCCTCCACAGCCTGGAAATACGACCTCTAAGTTAGCCACAGAGCCAGACAGGGATGGTAAGCAAACAACCACAGGGGCTAGGCACATTTTCCATCATATTTCACCACCGGGTAGGCCACTATTAACTGACATTCAACTGAGCTCTCTTTTTGACAGAGAACTAAAATTGTGATCACTTAACTATGACAGGACAAGAGTAACCTTTGTTATACAGAAAAAAAGAGTGTATATTACCCTAATATAAATCCCCACTGCCATGGCAAATGCATGAACAAGTAGGCGAAAACAGCAGCTGTGCATGTCTCTAAGAGGCATGGTCCAAAAGAAAGCCGCAGACAAACTGCTTTCAGCTTCTTAAGAGCCTGTAATGTAAGCACATTCAGACATTAGCATCTGTACCCTCAGGGTCCTAGGGAAGAAAAAAAAAATTCAAGGTCTGATATGGTTTGTTAAAGAATCCCCTTTGAGCTGCAGTACAGGTTATGGCAGCTTTAAAAACAAACACAAAAAAMCCCCATAACSTAAGCCAGAGATAAGCTCAAATCAAACGGCTTTGGATTTAAAATTGTAAGCATGGCAATGAAACCTCTGGATCTGTGTTTGATAAGGCTTCTGCACATCTGAGTAAGCAGGGGCAAAGAAYGGACAGAATTTGTTTCATTAATAGTTGGTCCCATACCTGTGGATCCAGGCCAAGTCCTGCTCGGGTCAAGATAATGGAAAGAGCAATATTCCTGAGTGCTGCAGACCAGTGGAGGTTTATCTGGATGATGTCATTGATGACTGGGGTATTTCGGATGAAAAAACCAGCAAGCAACATCCCTTAAGGAAAAATAAACAATYGGATATTTATTTCAAAAGCTGGAAATTGTTAAGAATACTCCAAGGTACCAGAAACGCAGGTATACTGAAACCATGATGCTGAGTTCCTTGAGAAACCTAATCTAAAAAGGCTAATCATGAACTAACAGACTTAAAATTGATTGGCTATGCAATACTTATGCAAAGCTGGGGTGGGGAGACAGGAAAAGAAACACAGTCAGAAGCTTGCTTTTGTTCCCTATTTGATCTACTTCCAAGATCCMACCTTTTGCACATATTAGCTTTGCAGGTGTCTGATTAGACAGTTTTGCCATTTGAACAGCAGTCCTGSAAAAAGGTAGGAAATCATGGAAAAGGATAACTTTAAATAGAATGTGTAAAGATTCACCACTACATGTGTGCTGTTRTTTTTTATGGCATAACTTCTCATTAGCCATGTTAAGTAATAGGAAAGACCAAAAGCAAACACACACTGTGCTTAGGTTGCTCCAAGTCTGGTAAGAACCTGTAAGCTTTGGCTGTGAGCATGATTTGCCCTGGAGCACTCTCAATTTTTGGACATTTGTTTGTCGGGAGGGTTCAAAAAGATCAAATAGCACTATAATTAATCTGTAGTGCCTCATGGTAATTATGTCAGCCTRTGGGCTAAAATAGTGATTACAGGCCTTATTTAAAGGCTGCATGAGGTCCAAGCCACTAGAGCTGTCCAGATCTAGAAGCGTGTTGAACAAAGCTAAAAACCCACCTTAAAAGGATATTTTTACTGTTCCGCTCCAGGTTGTTTGCTGCAGAAATCTGTCTGCAGTACATACCTGAAGAGCGCTATGCCTATCCAAATGTCTCAGTAGCAATTTCATTCCCTTTTTCCTCAATGGCTGCAGCTCACTGTGAGGTATATAGTAGCAAGAGCTACATTAAACTGCATCTGGTACAGATGGATCAAAGGCAAAAAATTCTTCTGTGAGACTATAAGATTTGTATTCTTAATGTTCAAAAGAATATTCAAACATGTCTTTTTTCGCTTTTGACTCATATTTCTCCAATTTGCCCCAAAGACTGGGAATCCAAGCAACTCTGTCCTGAGCAACTCAACTGACATGTGCTCTCATGCTTAAGCTTCTACTGTTCAATATTAAGTTGATAAAAAAAAGTTGATATGTCAATATTTACAATTGATTTAAATTAATATCAACAATAATTATTCCTTGTGAATTTATTTTTTTAGAATTCAGTTATTTGACAGAAAGAAGGAAATTGTTARGTTACTAGTAGAAAACAATTTATTTGGAAAACGCTTTCCTAGCCCGCATGAGATGCATGCAAAACAGCTCAGTTCTTTAACAAATAATTATTCCAAYAACCACATTAAAACTGCTGTTTAGTGAGATTATAAACAGATTTTAAGTGAAAGGGATGGCAAGGACAGTAAATTTTGAATGCCTRGGTGTACAACTCTCTGCCCCTCAAAGAATTCAGAGGACCTTGGTAACATACACACTATTTCACCTGGGCTAACAGGGGAAATTTTGCACCTTCTCTGAGAGAAATTGATACAAGTCACTCGGGAAAAGCTACAGATTTTGATCTTCAGGCAGTTYGAATGTTCCCAGTCTTAATACATTTAAGATATAGATGTTTCCTGACTGTCCGGATGACAGAACTACCCAAGAAAAACCAAAGGATGTCTTACCAAGAAGAGCAGGAAGAGGAGGCAACGTTGGTATTTTTATGAGTCCAAAAATYTTCCCTCCAATGACAGAAAAAAAATAAAGAAACAGAATTCCAAACAGGTTTCCACCTGGAAGGCACTCAGCCCCAGTGATGGACCAAGTCACAGCCCAAATCAGGACCACAATCACAACTGGAACAAAACAAGAAAAAGCCATATTTAACAATCTCTCTAGGATGACTTTGTTCATTATTAGGTCACATCTGCTTTTCTTCTCTGGAAAAAGCTGCTATTCATCTCAGAAACAAAAGTACTTAAAAATAAGTTTAATCCTAACTATGTAAACTTTGATATTCCCTAAATAGATTCATTATTACTATTAAATTATTGTAATAAATTTATTATATAATAATTTATTTAATAAATTTATTAAACTATATTATAATAAATTTATATTATTATCTAAATAACTTACATTTATATAAGTTATTTATAAATAAATTATAAATTATATCAATTTATATAATGAATAATATATCCATATAAATTTATATATACTAAAATACTACAGAAAATGAAAAAAGAAGAATCATTAGGGAACAGAAAGGACCAAGTGAGCCTTGACCTACTGTGAAAAGCAGTCATCAGGTCCTGTATCCTTACAACTGAGATTTTCATTAAYACTTATCTTGCATTCATGTAACTGCTTTCTTCTGAAGAAAAACTGTACTAAGAGGCTGCTTCTGTTCAAGACCGACAGTGGGTCCAGTCTCATTATTAAAAATATTTAAGTATGATTCTGCAGCTAGATGGGTAGCAATACACTGCTATCTATRGGGGAAAAAATCCCCAAGCAGGTCCTGTCTCTAGGCTCCTTAAGACAGTAGACATTTTTCTTCATGCAGCGAACAGGCACAATACAGAGAAAATAAGCTCTTAATGTGAAAATATTACACTCATTTCAAGTTCCAAACACATTATACAAGGAAACCAGCATGCACAGATATACACGTCTAAGAGTGAAGGAGAATTAAAAAAAAAAAAGCAACAAAAAGCTTTATGAAAGCACATGAAAGTATATTGCACTTTCAGACTGGGTTTTTCTTTATCTTATTATAGTAGATGGTAAAGGAGAGATTAGCTGATTCTCAAATGCAGAAGCTCAAAACTTCCAAAAGAGAGACAGTAGAGGCTGTAGTCGCAGCTAAACCAATAAAAATACATCTTCTTCGGAAAAGACAGAAATAACTGGTTATAAGGGTCAGTGTGCCTTGAGGATGGGTTTCTTGGCTTTGCAACCCAGAGCACTAACAAAAGACATCATTAGAGTGTATTGTGTTTGTAGACTCAATTCCACAACAAACAAACCAGCATGCTAAAAATGCACTGTGTTTATAACCATATTGCYTTCAATCCAAAAAGAGCAATCCAGAAAAAAAAGTTAGGGCTCTTACTTCTGAACAAAACCATTCACAAAAAGGTAAATAAACCTATGTTTAACATGGAAGACAGAATGGAGGAACATGCACATCTTTGTTCTACTTGAACATTTCTTCTACTAAGATGTTGAAAGATGTGCTACATTAAACAGCTATTTCCCTTCATTACTTTTGAGAAAAATAGTCAGACATCATACCCAGAAAATCAAGTACTACTTGGCCATTTGTCAGTTCAGCTAAAGCATTTATCTTACGCACCGTTTGTCACTATTCGGGCCAGTAAACCTTGAGGAGGACAAGCAAATATTTGCATCCATGTTCTTGCAGGTGTTGAAGCTATCTGTTCCCAAGGCTGCTGAGGACAATGATTCAGGAGAGCAGTTTCTTCTGTTTGTATATTCCCATCAGTACCTTTGGGGTCCACTGTTGGCCCTTCCTGTATTAAAACAGAAAGATTCTCTCAGAAGTGGCACAATATGCATGCATTTGTAGCAGTACACCAGACACCTGTAATCTGATAGAATATCTATATTAATTAAACAATTGCTACACTGCAGGCTGGGCTCTTTATTTTTATTTATATATTTTTATACACATATATACACATACATGAAAGTATGGATATACACATACATATACTTTCATCTATATATCTGATAAAAATGGTACTAACAGGCTGAGTTCAGCTTGTCTTTTGTCTGAACTAAATAATTGTCAATATTTTCTACAGTTGGATAATGTTTTGGTCTAGAATACTGTGTTGGATTTCATGGTAGAATTGATGATTAGCATTAGCATTGTTTCAGGGCAACAATGATCTGTCATAACACTCCTAAAYAACTTCTGTTACAAAGCTTAGAATGAAAAAAACATCATCTACTATTGATTAGTTAAAGAAGAAAGAAACAGCACAGAAGGCCAGTGACAACATTACTCACTTGATCCATTRCTGGAAGGCTCAAACTGATAAGTCAAGAGATGGAGAAAAATCACGTCGGGAGCTTTTTTCCCCTCTCGACGAATGATTTGATCAAACTGTTCTCTTATACTGATTCATCTACTTACCCATATTCACAGCCAAAATATTTTTCTGACCATTTTTGGGTATGTCTTTTGCTTTATTTTAGGGTYCTTATTTCTGACAAGTTAATCATCTACCTCCCCTTGTAATTATTCACCTTCATGTCAGCTAGTTGTCATAGCACAACAATGGAATTCTTGCCTACCCTGTGGCTTGGCCATCATCCAGTAATAGTTCCGCATTTCCCATTATTTCTGTCTTGTGTGTGTGTATACATATATACACACACGTGTGTGTATATATATATACACACATATATATACACACACACATATGCATCCCTTACTCATTGTTATGGATGGAACACCAAGTCTTGTGAGCTTTGAGTGTAGAGTTACTTCGATATCCATCCTGTGACTAGCAGTCACCAGCTACTCATGCTTACAGAAGATCTTCAGCACCTCTTACCAGTCAATATCCTATTCTCTCTGAAGTATCTGTAATATTARGAATTTTATTCTTACTTCCTTTTACCCTAGTCTATTTCAAAGTTATCTTTTTCTAAGTTAACTCCAGAAATATTCATATGGAAAATTAAAAATGTTTTATTGATTTTAACAGATTAAAAAAAGCAAGGGAGAGATACACAAACAACTTTTAAACATACTGATAAGCACAATTTAAAGCAGAGAAGAAAACTTAAGTCCATTCAACTTTTCTCCATAACCAGCTGTGAAACTTAAACTGATTCATTTTCTAATTCAAGCTGAAATTGAGTCAATGATTTCCAACTGTCCAACACACTACAGACTTTTTTCTTTTGACTGAACTTAATAGTTATTTGCAAAGAATTCCCTCCCTGAGAAGGAGAAATCTTTTTAAGTTCCCATCAGCATTTGAATAGCTACAGTAGAAAACACAGAAGGAAATTTCTTTTGACTAAATCTGTACTTTGAGATCTTAATTACCYGAGTTCTGTCATGCAGAGGGATCATGCCATTTTTCACACCTGCTGACAGCTCAGAATCTTCCTTCTCATTTCCAGTATCATCTTTTACCATTGCGGTCATCCTACAGAAAGCAATAAACAATAAAAAGGTTAAGGAGAAGTAAATAAGGCTAAAGAGAATAGCAGTCCTTTGAGCAATATTGCTTCCTTCCACATAGACCAGAAATAAAACACACAGCCTGATTTTGAATTTAATGTAATAGCTTTTTTTGCATATCTGTGTATGCTCTACATAAGAACAAAAGACAAAGTTCTGGACTAAATTAAGCTTGTAGAGTACAATAAACCCTAAAGGTTGTAGGAGCATGGTGGTCTGTGCAAAAGAATATTGCCCTCTCACATATATTTTATGCCTTCTACAGCACAGAAGGTGCTTGGTTGTCCACAATTCCTGCCAGGATCATTAGTCCTCAAAGTGTCACAGGGCCTGTTAACAAGGCAACATAAGCGCCCAAGAACAAGCACCCATTTCCAAAGTACACGTTTTTTTCCTAGTTTAAAATCTGAACAAAGCCACCTTGATTTTCAAGGAATTATTTCAAGAAAGTGGTTTCTATTAGACATAGCTCTTCACAAACACATTGACTCAAAACCTAAGAAATAAAAGATGCCTGAATGAGCTGGTTTATTGTGCCAATCAGATCTGCATGCTCCACTTAGTCAAATTACCTACAAATCCGGCTGCAGGATTTGTTTGGTTTGGGAGATTTCACTCTTCAGCACCGCCCTGGCTCCCTACAAAACAAGTAACATGAGTCGTGTTGCTCTTATTTGTGCCCTTAGAATACTGGTTTCCAAGCAGGAACTATAGAACTCATAAYTCTGGGAACTTCTGTGAGCCTGAGAACCCAAGCCAGGAACATAATTCAGTGTTTTATTATTTGACAGTTGCATATAGCAGAAGCAGTTCACCGCCTCTTCCTCAGATGCTATATTTGTTTAGCCAAGATGCCTTTGAYCCCCACCAGGTAAGTCCAATGCACATATTGCATGTATTTCAAGACAAGACTCAGCAGGCTTCAGTGCTCTCTGCATCTCAGCAATTTGGAAATGGGCAGCTTTTTATTAAAAAAAAAAGTCTAGCACATTACTCTGACCATAAAAAAACTATTTGAGCCAGAACTACTGAGCCAAAAAAATTAATTCCTTCTTAGACTGCTGGAAGCAAKTCAGCAAGGCAGTTCTCACAGTTACCTACCTTTCAGTTTATAAAGATACACTTGATATCTAGGATTGATTGACATCATGAACAAAGACAGGGTTTATTGTAACATCTGGGTGTTTCTGAGACATTCTGATGTGAAACTGGTTCAAGACAAGGTTAAGACAGAGAAAGAAAACTGAGCTACAGGCAAATATTTGCACTAATACAACAGTTCTCCTTTCTTTCAAGTTTAAAATGTTACTTTATTTGAATTCCACTACTTTTCTGTATCTTTTTATTATTCTTTGTGGAAGCAAATAGTATCAATGTTCTTCATGAAATAACTGATACCTTGAATTTTCTCAGAAAACTGTTCAGCATTTTGCCAGGGTAGTCTTTTCATTGAGGCCAGGACTCCATGAATTCCCATCTAGTGACCAGAACTGCAGGTACCTAGATTCTACCACACAGTAACTCCATGCATGTACTGCATGCATGTACTACATGTACTGCTAATAGAGGTRTAAAGGGAACAAGAGATGGATGGAGCAAGAAAATTTGATTTCCTGCTTCAGTTTAGCGGGGATGACTTCACGGTGGGAGGGAAGGAATCTACTATTGTGTGTGCTGCCCTTCTTTCTGGAAAGGGAGGCTTTGACCCTGCCAGCTTCTCCATGCTCTTGCTTCTCATCAATAGCTAGTTGGATTAGTGAGGCCAAAGTGAGTGCTTGGCTCACAAACACAAACTCAAGCCAGATTTTTTTTTTTTTTTTTTTTTTTTAAAGTTTCACTGCCATATGCCAACAAAACCAAGAGAAAAACCATGCAGCATAATTTATGACACACAATAAAGGCTTCTACATTGGAAACCAATCAGTAAAAGATTTAAAGGAATGTAAAATACATAATTTGGAAATTACAAGATTATTACAGCTGTTTTTTGTTTTTATTTTACTTCTTTTAATTGGGAGGCAGGAGCAATCTGAGCCAGAGCAGAACTCGGGACAACTGGCAGGCGCRGCATGTACATGCCTGTAGCGTTAGCTCCATTGCCCTGGAGAGAGCCAATGCTTTTGCTCTGCCCACGCAGACAGCACAGAAAGGAATATAAATAAAATACGACAACCACCCTCAGAACTACAAGCACAGAAAAGAAATAACATGGCAGGAGATGTACCAGGWGACAGTAAAAGAGGAAGAAACAAGGCACACATTGGCCAGAAAAAGACGTAAGCAAGCCCTGATGCAGTCAGCTTCCCCTGCCAGCTTCCTGCCTTCAAGGCCACCGCAGCCCCCTCACGTAACCCGTCCTCTTGCATCCAGCCCCAGGGRATGGAGATGCAGGACAGAGGAGGAGATGCAGAAAACCCACCTGAGGAACAACAGAGGTGACGGAGAGAGAGCAGGTCCACGCGCAGCCCGTGCCGAGGCACTAGCCGTGCTCGAGAGAGGCGAAGGGACGATAATTCGCGGGCTGCAAGAGGGAACAGCTCTGTGCCAGCGCTGGCTCCTCCCCTGCTGCCGCTGCCTCGGGAGACACGGCTTCCCCCGAGCAGGCAGCAGCAACCACAGGCTGAAGCTTGGGAGGATCCGAAGAGCTTCCTGKATGCCATCTTCTCTCTCTGCACTGGGAAGGAGAGTCTCTCTCTGGCAGATAGCACGACAGGTAGCAGGATGCAGGAGGCACTAGGATCTGRATACAAATATTTGTCTATTTGCATTGCTTCCACCAATATACTGCTACTTCTCAAAAAACAACTAAGAGCATTCCCCTCCTCTGGTAAGTACGTGTTAGGCAACAGGATGGAGCTTGTGTCTCTGCCTCATGCAGCAGGCTGGGTGGGGCAGACACCAAAGCAGCTTTAAACAGAGCATGTTGGTCCTTTGTGCCTTGCAGCATCACACAAAATTAGGGCTGACTAGAAATCTCATAAAAGCTAAACCTGCTTTTCCATCAAAAAAAAATTCTCCATAAGGACTATAAATAAGGAAAGTTGCTCTCCTATTCCCCCCAAATTTGATTTAATGTGAAAGAACAAAAAAAAAATCCCTTTTCATATTATCACTGGGAGGTAAAGGAGAAGGGAAGCATGCAGTTCCTTTAAAAAACAGACTAGGGATTAAAGAGGTCACAAGAGCATTAAGGAATGATCTCATTTAGTAATTCTAGAAAATCTTCTGGAAAAGCTGAGGCCTTGGAACACATTTGAAGTTTTTAGCTGTTAACACAACTGCAAAAAGTACTGCTTATATAGTAAAGGATAAAAGTCTGTCAAAAGCCTTGAGACATCAACTTCTCAGACCACCTCTGATATATACTTCTGTACTTTTGTGCTGTGTAAAATGTACATAGTATCACCTATGCTAGCAAAATTGCTCTGACAAAAAGAAATAGTCTGTATATTAAAATCAATGAGCAATAAATACAAAAGTATTTATTTATAGAGCTCAGTAATTAATATACCAAAGTTTGTTATTCTGATTTATACATTCAGAACAGACAACCCCGTGGTTGCTGCAYTGGGGAGAGTCTGTTTCCAAGCTAAGCATTCAACAGTTTCTGGCTTTGTGTTCAACTCTGAAAGCACTGAAACAGGAGCCTGCCATGCTGAGCTTTTAACATTTTAATTTACCTCAGTGAGCTTTGGATGGGCCATTCCAGTTAACAACTTGGACTTTCTGCTTTACCTTATCCTCCTTGTCTGCTAGGGTCACACTACTGAAAAAAAGAAAATACTTAAGCCCCCATAAATAAACTAGACAGGATCAGAATGCTCCAGCATTAAACCCAAGATGAGTTTAAGGAATCCAACATCCACAGTATTTTCTCATTTAAAAATTGTGAGCAACAATATCTCCCATCTATAAATAAAAAAAGTTGGATTTTGACCAGAAAGTTTTCATATCATTGAAAATCAAATCATTTATATTAATGTCTCTATAAATATCAAAGTGCTTAAGTAACTTAAGCAATTTTAAACAATCTGGCAGTTAGAGATATTTCAGAAACACGCACAAAACTAATGTGTATTTGTGTATACAGTTCTTCTTAGAAAAAAATCACATTAGTAAAAATCACATTTTACTCTAATGTTTCACTATTTAGAAATAACTATATCAGTAAAACCAGTTTAGAAGAGAAGCGCCTACAGAATGGTAAAAATGCACTAAAATGTTTTTGAAAACATTATATTAGTGACTTCAATTTTGCAAACTATCTTAACCGAGAAACATGGTCCTTTCCACTTTTTGTCTTTATCTTTTCAGATAGGTTCAATCACAAGCTCTTCAGAGGTAGCCATCTCACATCCTCCATGGATGATTAGTTCATTGTCGGTCAACATAGGTAGACAAATTATACAATGAAATTTATTAATTTTAATAGTTCATGGCTATTAAGTTCAAAAAAATTACATTTATTAGAAGATGGGTTTTTTTTAAGCAAAAAAGCAGTAACAATAAACATACAGAATATGGAACACAGGTTAAATTGAAACCTTTCACCTAACTCAGGGGAGTGTAGCACATTAAAGACATTAAGATAATACATTCTGAACATAAACATTCACATAAAAGGGATTTCAGAGAGTTCACCTGCAGCAATAATACCTTACACTGTGATGTTGTTAGCTCTGTTGAACTGAGCAGAATCTGACCACCTCAGTCAGTAATTACAAGATGACTTAAATGAAAATTTAGATAATGCAGAAAGCAAGATAAGCAACTGAGAGTGACATTCTAACATTTCAATCAACTATAGTCTGGAAAAATACAAGGAGAGTAAACTTAAATCTCTGGTTGCAGAGTGAGGCCAGTAGGAAAACTTGTTGTTTTGTTGGAAGATATTCCCAAACACTTCAAACTACGATTAAGTTACCTACTTAGCCTGATGGATGGTCCTAAATCATTTTTAAAACCATATGCTAGAATGCCCTGTCACAGCTATGCACTAGYTTAGGGCAAATGCATGCCAAAAAAAGTGGCTGTATTCTATTTTTGCATTGGATACTGTAAGCAACACTAAGTTCTTCCACAGTTAACAGACACTCTGCATTCACTCAGCAAATACCCTATGATGCACTCTAAGGCTCAGCTTCAGCACAAACTGACCAAACTCAGGGAGACACTATCGTTTCCCTTTGTATTCTGAAATATGAGATATTCAGGGTTCTGGGCACAAGTGAGGAAGTGCATTTTGTTTGTTTTTCAAAAGGTGTTTAGCATATACATACACACAATCAATCCAATTGCTCTCTAACCTGTTCTGGCTTTGGCCTGACTTTAGTTCTTTCTTGTAGAGGTGGTGTGTGAACAGTTCCTAAACAAAAGTCTAAAATTTAATAATTAAAACTCAACTACATTAACAACCATGATGAAGAATGCTTTTCCAGGGATTAAAGTTGTGTGTTGTGGTATAACATCTCCATGTAATGTCATATTTGTGGYAAGAGAAAGACTGCAGAACTAGCGGCCTAACACCAGAACATGCATTTCAAAAGACAGAATGCCTTCAGAGTAAGATTCAGTACTTTTCAGATTGTTCAACAACAACTACCCTTCCAGCTAACCCTTGACTTCTTTAAAKATCCAGACAAACACATAAAACATGCAATGCTTGTGCAATGGTACTAGGTTAAGAGCAACCCAGTCTAATTACGTAAGTAATGACTTCTCTATTTTTCATCTCAAAGACAGCAGAAATACACCTTGTTCTTTTGTACTCTTAATAACTTTAATTGCCCTTTGCAAGTCCACTGCTCCTTAATAATATCAAACTAAGTTGAGCCTTTTTTTTTTTTTTTTTTAAAGTATTTGCTCAGTGGAAAGGTAGCATAGAAACAGAACGAGAAAGGCACAGACAAGTTGGTTCTACATGCATTTACTTCCAGCTCGACCTTTTCTTGTAGCACATTGTATCTCAGCAAGGGTAGGCTAACTAAAATTATTTTCATCAAAATCTGAAAAGAAAGCATAGCATTCTTCAGAAGTATAAAATTGGCAAGTACCATCGGAAGTTTGGGAAMTGAAGAAGCCCATCTATGTAGTAATCTCAATTTTCCTTGACAAACACAGCTACAGTTATTACATAATTGTTATTTACTGCAAATCTCTACCAATACAGTGTTAACTGGATATTTTAGGACAAAAAAAAATACAAAAGCAACTCTCTAGAAAGCTACTAATCTTGAATACTAGATGCCACAGAAGACATTTGTAGTATTTCCAGATTTCAACTTAATCATCTGCAAAAGAATACTCGTATTATTCAGATATGAAGTATTTTGTCATCTGCTAACCTAGTAGAATATTCCAGGACAAAGTTTCAGTAGCATGAGTGCGTGCTAGACTGTAAAAACAGGTTAAGACTCTCACTAAGCTCTCCTAAATCAGTGCCATCAGTGATATTACACTGCTTAATAGGATAGCTTCCCTAGTCAGAAAAAAATATGTATATTAATGCATATTTCTAAACACTTTGCAACAGAAGTTTTGTTACATAAGGTGGAGCTATGTGCTGTATTGTATTACACTGCTTCCTTCACTGCTTTGTAGTTAGCCATTTAATCATCTCTACATTTCCCTTTAGTCTACCTGAAAGTTCAGACAATACCAAGAATGCTTTAGAGCAGAATCATTATAATATCAGGCCTTCCCTCTCCAAAGCTTCATATTCAAATTTTTATCCCAAAGCCCACACTGTCCCCATGGTGATGACACAGACCTTTAACAACAAAGCAGGGACACTTACCTTGGGAAGAAACATCTTGATCATTAGATCAAGATCATTAGATACATGTTGTGAACACTGCGGCTCATAGTAAAAGCCAAGTCTGGTTTATCACACTCCAAAACAGTTCCATGATTAATAAATCTGGAGTAAGTGCATTAAATATATCACTGTATTTCACTGATGCATGACTTTGTTTCCTTTTTTTTTTTTTTTTTGCAATAGCTAACTCTCCCAAACTAATAAAGTAGGCACAACAGTTCCGATGAAGGAAGCAATGCAACAGTTTATTTCCTGTGRCAAGTATCAGTGATATGAGAAAGACCTCATTCATGGAGAGAGGTATTTAGCAACAGGAAAATTCCAAAAAATATATACCACACAAGCAGAGGGCCTGCTTGCTTGCTGTGGTGTTGGGGGCCAAAGCTATCAGTATGAGATACCCAGAGAGCTGTGGGTAAATTAGAGCTCAATTTTCAGAACCATTGTTTATCTTGGTAACATGGTTGCACACMAAGATATCAGTTTTGATATAAACACATGAAAATTTATGTTAAAGTATAAAGCTTATTACAATTAAAGGCATAATATGCATTTAAATTTAAGAAAGTACTCTTGGAGGACAGGAAAAAGTGGCAAAAGGAGGAGGGTGAAATAGAAGCGGATTACCCTGACATGTTACAGACGACATCAGTCCTTTAAATCTCCTTAGCAAGATTTTCCACCTGTTCCTTCTTGGTGATATCCAGAACTGATATTTGAATTCCTATAGAAACACAGTCTTTAGCTTACTTTGCTTAAAAATCAGCAGTTTGGTTTTCAGAACTGCTGAGGCCTGCAGCTCCCATGCAATTCAAGTGATTTGGTAGGAACAGTCCCCTCTCAGTATTACAGGGAGATAGCAGACCAAGTGACCAACARCTACACTTGATCCTTGAAGCAACAGTTAAATCAGGACAGCAATGGACAGTAGGGCACACTTCTGAAAAAAAGATTCAGTATTTCAAGATAAAAAGGACTGTCACGTAGCATCATGCAAGCAAATGAGTTACTATCCTTCACCACGACATCCATTCCCAATGCATTTGAATTCTGTTCCCTCTCCAGACTAAAGAATTGTAGAGTCCATGTAATCCTCACAAGCTTTCAAGCCCTTTGTAATAAAGTATTAATTCCTTGGAACTAATTACAGGTTTCACATACCATCACATTATGTCTATCCATGTAAAACAGCTCTATAACATTTAATTAATGAAGAAAAATGCTTTTGCATAAATCATTATTAATTTTACATAACCAAGGATTTCATCATAGCAATAACAGAAATTAAGAGGAATTGTAGCAGGCTGATTACCGCAATAATATAGTTTAAGAACAGCCATGCTAATGTTTCTGCAATTATTGAACAAGAAAAACCCGCACATAACCTCAAAAAACATTTGAGTACTTGCTGCTTTTTGCTATAAGGCCCTACTTATTTGAGCCCCTGACTGCTGACACCTTCAGTGCTTATAGCACTGTGTTTTGCTGTACCAAAAAAAAGTTGATACCAAAAACATAATAGCAATTACCATCCTTCTGTTTTCTTCAGAGAAGTTCACTGAATTGAGAAATGCAGTGATCTCAGAATATTGAAAGGTGCCAAACACTTTCCTGCAAACACTTTTCTATAGAACCTGTCCTCCTTCAACAGAAGCATTTCAAGCAGCCAGCCACAGCTGTGCATATGCGGAAGTGAAAAGACCAAAACAAACAAGTGATGCTTCCAGATGAGCCGCAACATGATAGGTCATAATCTACCTGTCACTTYAAATGAGAAGCTTCTAGCAACCTAACACAACTAACTTCTCATCCATGTCAAAACTGACACCTTACTATGAAACARAGGAGCTTATGATACACCCTACCTGCACCTTAATTCCACGTTCAAAGTAAKTATTGGGCTATCCACTCTTCTTGAACGCACCAGCTTGCTTTCTGAAAGGGAATCTGGATGTGCAGAAAAGGAGGAGTCACACTGTACTCCCAGTTTCCTCTGTGCTATTTAATACCAGCAGTTTACATACAAAGCCCTTGTCTCGCTACGGCAAGGAATAAAGCAATGCCCATAAAGACATATCCTGGATATTTTTTTCCTCCTGCTTCTTAAAACATTTGCCATAACCTCAAATTGTATTTCAGTCTACCTTGAACTGACATCTACTACAGATTACTTACCTGGATATTCTCCAGTTCTTGCAGCTTAGACTTGTCTATGTCTGTAGCCATGACTTCGGCTCCTTCTTTGGCAACAGCCTGAAGAACRCAAGCAAAATAAATAATGAGCACTAGGATATAACAGATTTTGATAGAAATAAGTACTGTTTTCTTACTTCTTTTTTGAAATGCAATCGAAGTTCACTCAAGGCAACTATCCTTCTTTTCATTATGGGTAGGCCAAAAGCAATAAGTATCAATAAACCAACCAAGCATAAGAGAGCTACTTAGGGTGCAAGAACATAATTTAAAAAAATTTTCAACTCACAATAGCAAGTTCTCATCCAATCCTTTGTGCTGCTGCAGGCAGCAATATTATCTTCCCATCAAGTTGACCCATATTGCCAAGCTACATAGCCAGAAGCCTTTTCAAAAAATCCTTGCACCTAGGGAAACACCTGCAAGTGTATCCTGGAAAATAAGTAATCCAAGTGTTTCTACTCCCAAGTCCAAGTTCAGAAGAAAAATTGAAGTAGACTAGAAATCAAATAGCTTGTAAACTAGCATCTCCCCTGCATGTTGTCATCTTACCAAGGGGCCCCCCTTCCCCACCCGAACATCAACTTGCTATATTGCAACCATGTAGGGAGCACAGCATCCTGGGCTCCCCAAAACGTATCTTTCCTTTGCTTCTATGACCTAGTCTTTACACACTTTGGGAATCTCTCAGCACTGCAGATCTCCTGCTCCACAGAGCAAGGGGGAAAGAAGGTCTGCCTTTTCTCCTCCACTTTTCTTGTTCTCTGGCAATTACTCAGTTCCCTTGGAGCAAGGGGTAGGGGGAAAAGGAGACCTTGTGAGTACTGGTTAAGGCAGGTAGTTTTCCTCCTGTAGGAGGTTCTGCCTCACTGAACTTGCAGCAGCCAGGAAGCAAAGTGCAGTCAGGTCTGCTCCCCAGCACACCCTCCCTTTCAAGGGGATTGTTACATTTAAGGAAAGACTGAAAGGCAAGTTGCAAACAAATATAAGCAAATGCCATCTTTTGGTTTATTGCTTGTTTACGGAATAAATTACTGAGCAAGATATTTTAAACCATAACCTCAAAAGTATGATTACTGTGTTGCATCAGAATGCAACATCTGGGCTTGTGAAGTGAGCATACCAACAATCTTTTCTGCACTTTCAAGATCTCAAAAGCAAAGTTCTTGAGATAGGTCATGAATGCAGAAAGTTCTCATGAATGTGAAATTTTAGTAAGAGTTCCAAGAATCAGAAAAATCACCTGCAAGTGCTCACTCACAACATAGGAAGGTCTTCATTACTATGACATGTGTCATTTAAGTGAAAAATCCTAATCAGTCAGATTCTTCAAACCATCTTCATACATGTTAAGTAAAATATGCTAGCAATACACTTCCTCCAACTAGCAGGTTTTCTGAACACATCATAGTCATTCTAGCAATATTAAGCATTAAAAATATGACAATATAATCACTCACCAGAAAGCCTCCAAAAACTTGGTAGACTTACTGACCTTTGTAAGAAAGGAAGTTTTAAACTTTTGCTCTGCCTGTTGGGATTTGTAGTTCAACTGTTTCCTAGATCTGTAACAGCATAATTTCCTTAAACATTGAGATGCTGCCATCTAGTGAAGACTCAAGATTTTAAGACTGGAATATTTCTCCTGCAAGGCAGATGGCAAGAGAGAGAGAGGAAAGAAAAAAAACACCCATCTAGATCAACATACAAATGTGCCAGAGTTAGTTAAGGGATCTGCAACTCGTGGATTTTTGGCTAGTCRTTTCTATAGAAAGTAATCCAAAACACTCTCCAAAAGTTTAGAGCTACAAATATCTTCAAATTCCTAGCAGTCCTAGCAATCAGTATTYACTGGCATTGAAGATAAATAGACAGTGGGGTCTTGGATAAACATCTCAGAAGTACCCACCTCCATCAGGTATGTAATTCTRGTGCAACTGTTTCAAGAAACAAGCAGTTTATAGGAACAGGAGCTATATAATTGCTACAAGCTCAGTAATGCACCAATGTTATCATTTGCTTACAACTTTGAGTAAGCCATAGTGAAATACATAAGGAGACATGCAGCACCACTTTCCCATGAAGTACACATGCTTTTGATGCGAGTGTTGGCTAGCTGTGAGTAGGTCACCTCAGGCAACTCCATGTTCAACAAGTAGACCTCAAGTTTTGAGCATAACATTTGTTTTTAGCTGAGGACAGGTAGAATTTGATCTTTCAAAATTCCAATATTTCTTGATATAGGAAAGATTGTTAGAGGGGAAAAAATTATATATAATMTACAAAGTGAACAAAAGCTATTGCTGAAGCTGAATACAGAAAAGCTATAGAAAAACAGACAAGAAACCTCACTGAAATGATGAAATTGAGATTCTTCAGCATCATTTCTCCACAAAATTCAAGTGAACAGCAAAAATATTTTTTAATAATTACCACATTCAAGTTTATTATCAAACAAGCCTTCTCATACAGAAAATAAAAAAATAAGYCTCACATTGTGGATAAGTATGATAGTAAAATGAAGTCTTTTTTGAAGCCCAAGTTGTCCACAGTTGGTTTCTGCCTCTCTAAGTAAGCAAGAAACCTGTCAGTCAGTTCCATGAAATATTGTTAAAAAAAATCAGATATCCAACTCCACACAAGAACTGGAAGTATATTTCAATATGATGCAAAATACAGTTATTCTTGKCACTATAATTGACAGAGCTGCTGAAGTAAAGATTTCTAAAGATCAAACTTTGATTGTGTGCCCTATGAACAAAAAAACAATAGTTTCAATGGCAATGTACAAATACAGAGGTTAGAGTTGTGGTGAAAACACCACTCCCAGGGCCCTACAAAAACATGATGCAAAAATGGATCTGGAACAAAAAAAGTTGAGAAGAGATCTGTTCATTTCAACACTATTCAGGTACAAAAATTAACAGCTCAAGAGCTGTATGAATGACAAAATACAAAGTTTAAGGCAGAGAAGTTTCACAGTAGATTATTTTTCACAATCCTTTTCCATCTTTTCTTCAGAATATAGCTTTTGCTACCTTTGCTATCCAAATGGTAAAATGACCAAGGTAGAACCACCACAGCATGAACAGGTTACAGGCAGCATTACCGTTTCTCCATTTATGTGCTTTTATTTCAGTTTTTATGGCCATAGAAAGCAGCAGCTCCAAGAAGCAAGGGATATCTATATGCTACCAGAGCCTAGTAGATGTGTATGAGGATGACGGCTTTTAACCTGAAGCAGTCCTCTTCTGCGTATGCAGATAATGGCTGTATAGCCACTGTAGAGACAGCTTACAGACATCATCTTTACTGGGTGGTACAATCAGGTGCTTTATCTCCTTCTGAAGTTCCAAACCAGTGCCTAAGATGTTCCTCTGTAGGCTCTATTCCTGCAGATTGTGTATCTAAACAGAAAACAAGAACACTAAGGCAAGGCCTGCAGACTTGCCCAGATGTACAAGCAGTAGCAACCCAGCCTCTGATGTCAAGGACAGAAACATGACTTTGAGGAAGCCCATACTATTAGGTATCCGACCATCACAACAAACAGCACTGAATTGAATCATATTCTTTCTGGAAGTCTGTCATTGGAAACCTCAAACTGCTTAAGTCTTCACCACATATGCTGGAGTCTTCCAAGTCATTAAAACAATGCATRACAATGAAGGCAGTTGTTTTAATTTGCTAGGATAGATCACTAGAAGATTTCCCCAGAAGTCACTAGGGTAGAAATGAATGRGTAGTAAGACTGAGGGGAACTGCTGTTACTGCAGTTGGAAAAAGATAAATTGACTGATTTGATGTCAAAGACCAAGAACTACCATCTTGATCAAGTTTAGAAAACAGTTAATTTAATAGTTAGTAGTTCATACATGACAGTGGTCCATGCAAGTAAATCCTGCCAGACCTTTGTGCTTAAAGTTAGGCAGCAAAATGTTCTAGATTACCTATCCAGTATCTTAACCTGCTTATTCACCTTCTAAAGCAATTAACAAAGAAAAGTGACTGGACATTCAGAACCTGCAGAGTTATTTAGGATCTATATTACATAAAATCTTCATGGCTTCAGCTGGCCAAGACCTCAACAACAAAGTGAGGAGGCATTTAAAAAACAATCCTGTGTTGCCATTCAAGTTTCAGGTTTGAGTACAGGAARTACAGGTTACCTGCTCTTTCCCAGACCACCATTTAAGATTAATAGTAACAAAATATAAGAGGACCATACTGCATAACATACCTGTTGGTACAACTAAGTTGGAATTATCRAAGAAATTTGTTGGATAAGTCAGCGGTAGTGTCTTTGATGTGTCCCGAGTCACACTTTCCTGAGAACGAGGTTCCTTGGCAGGAGAAGGCATTTGCTCTTTGAGAGAGCTAATTTGTGTCATTTTCCTTGGAGACCTCGGGATTGTCTCCTGAGCAGTTTCTCTTGAGGATCGTTCTTTTAGTTTTAGTGCTCTTTCTTTCCATTTTCTAAGTTCTTCTTTCAGTTGAACTTCATTACTGAACAGGAACAAAGGAAAAACACGCAATGAGGACAAAACCTAAATTGCTTTAGGTAAAGACAAAAAGAAACAACAAAACAGACAGATCCTGCACCTCCACTCTTCCCCCAGATCTGGCCTTTTTTAACAGTTAAGTAAACATGCCACAATTTTACCTTTTAACTTAAACAAAGCATGTTCTTTGGATTTTCARTATACCCATTACTCAAGAAAGCTGTTGAAAGCTCAAAGCCAAATAGGGAATTATTGCATATATTCATCAATATTTCCTTTAGTCACAATATATTTTTATTTTTACATTTATTAGTTACTTGCTTCTATGGATTTCTCAAGAAATAGTTACAATCATGCAAGTTCAACAATAACAACAACAACAACATATTTGACGTGTTGCTGATCAGCTTTATACTTACCTTACCAGGAGATCATTTTGTTTCTTCAGTTGCARGTTTTCTTTCTGTAGTTTAGCTTGTTCAGATTTTAAAACAAGCATCTGGGTGCTCTGCACAATCCCACTGCCACCACCACAAGTAAGAGGCATTTGCGGTTGCTGAGGAGATTCTTTTTCCGAGACCACTAGAAAATAGTGTATGTAAATGTGGGTTATGTGGACAGTACTTAAAAACAAATCAATATATTTAAACCATGCATATAGAAGATAGAAGGAAGAAATCTTGTAAGTAAAACCTAAATACAAGTGCCACTACAACAGCTATATACATGTAATATACCACTAGGATATATTTTATACACTATTGTACATATATGCACAGTAGTATTTGCACTGACAGCCAAGCAGCTTGGAAGTTTGTTTATTATGCCATTTAGAGTGAAAAAAATCAATTATTTCATGATTATAGGTAGAACTAGTTAGTTATATGTGAAATCAATCAAGTAAGAAAATATGTAAGCCACAAAACCCATCATAGCTCTTAAATAAGAAAACGTATAAGTGAAATCTGAAGCTGTAAAAAWGGAACTGTTAGTTTATTGCCAAAATTTGTGTAACATTAAATGTGTGTAACATTAAAATGGCACTTCATTTTGAATTTACCTGTAACATCTTGCTCTTGCCGTGCTCTTCGAAGTTCTTCTTTTAGTTTTCTCAACTGTTCTTCCTGGTCTTCCACAAGAGCTTTATAATTAGCAAGCCTATATTAGGGAAAGTGGCAAAAATAAAGCATTATTTTGTGCAGTCTAGTAGTTATTGAAGTTGTCATAGCTAGTTTGTCAAATAGGAACAAATCCAGGTTATATACGTCAACAGAAACAAAATACCTCAAACATGACAACCAAATGAGGTGAAGTGCCGAAAAAATAACTTGAACTAGAATTATTCTGTGTAGTTCACTGGAAGAATGCAGAGTGCTCTTACTAGCTGCTTTTCCTTACTTCCTTTAGCAGCTATTTGGTTTATGGCTAAACATGTGTTGTTGGAAATCTGTATCTGTGTGGAAAACCATCTCGTCAACTAAAGATGTATACAGCTTTCAGTCCTTCTCTGGAAATCAGCTAGAATAATAACTGAGCATATGTAACTGTGAATGTAGCTTCTGATTTTTTTCCCCGCACAACATGAGAACTAAGCAATTAAACTTTAATAAGGTAGAACCTGAGCTTACTTCTTATCAAAGCAGTTGGATTGTTTCATTCTTTCCATATCATATTTTACCAACTGCATTTTGAGATGATCAATTTCTTCTTTATACGGCTCAGCACCTTTATCTAGTTTTGCCTACACAGGAAAAAAAGAAAAAAAGACATCTAATATAAAGCAAAAAAAAAGTTACTTTTTAGTAATGTATTTGGGGGCAACTTAGTTTGCACCATTATGATGGCCTAACAGATTTTTCTGTACAAGATCAGAAGCAGGAAGTTATTGAGTAAGAACTGGAGTATCAGGTATTGCCATAGTATTAGTTGTTAATGAAGATTGCAGATATTCAGACAATGTTATGTGTGCAAACATATTCAAGCTATTTTTGTCAACTTGTTTGCACATATAAATCTGGGAATTTTGAACTAATATGCAAATAGATTATGAAAAGAATCCATGCTTTGTTTCCAAGTTCAAAATAKCAAAAAATATCAAAAGGTCCTTAGAACCTTTCAAGAAATGCATCATTTAGTACACACTGTAGCCTTAGGTTCTAATGTGGCAGTATAGGCTCCAAATTTTGCCTGAGTTGCATTTTTAATTGTGGAGCTCTGTATTGGAGTAGGGGCCTTATTCTAATAACATGGTACAGCACAATTAGCTAACTTGCAATTGCTCCATATCTTCTACTGTCTTTTTCCTCAGGCATGTTCCCTCCTGGACAAATAGAGAATATAAGGAGTCAAGTATTTTGCTCATACCTGGAGACTTTGCTTCTCTGTTAAAGCATTTCTGAGGCACTTCTCTTTCTCATTTAGCATGGCCTGAAGTTGAGTGAGCTCGCTTGTAGCCGTTTTCCTTTTGATCTGTTCTTCTAACTTGTTGATCCTGTCATCCTTCTCTTGGGCATTTTTTCCTGCTTCATTTATTATATTTTCCAGCTTTTGGATTTTTAGTTCCATAGCCTTTAGAGAAATGACGGTTTTGAGAGATTATGCCAAGAGTTATATCAGTGTAAAAGTATATAGTATCTTAAAGAACAAAAAACCCATCACACCCACACACCAACATTTGCCACATACGCTCTAAATGTTGTCCACCTGACTCAGATGTTCATTCTATTTCATGTATTTTTAAACATACACTGAGCAGTTTAAGAAAATGGTACAGGAAGAAGTTTGCTGTCTCATTGGCAGCCCAATTCAGATCTAGTTATCTCTAACCACTCCCACCTCTCCCATTTAAGTGGAGAGTATCTGATTCCTAGAACTGTGGAGCAAAATAAGAGAGGAGAGAGACAAGAAAAAAGGAAAACAGAAAACCCACCATCACACACGTTTTCCCCAGTTTCCTGTCTAATACAGCAAATACCACATAAAAGCAAGAAATGACTGCTATTACAACATTATATTAGAATTAATRCTTCAGAAACAACTAGGAACATTTCATGCTAGCATGTAGACTGACGTTTGTAGGTACAACAGTCAATTTAAGGAACTCAAGGAACTTGAAATCTTGCTTTGAATCTATGAAACAACAACAACAACAACTGCACTCCGGGCTAGATCATTGCACGGCTCAGGCTTAGTTATCATCAATCCTGATTTATTTTCTCCTCAGTTTGAAGCRTTCTTACTTGGAAATCAAGCATCAGAAAAATTTTCTTTAGAATCAGTTTTTCACCTTCATATCTTCTTCCGTAGCCTTCAATTTGTTAAGAAGTCTATAGTTTTCCTCTTCTAAGAGGAGACTAGCAGAGGCACCAGGTGCCAGTTGTCCTTTAGTGTTGTTCAGCTCCTGAAGCAACTCTTCTGTTTTCTCTTTGCTTAGTTTACGTTCACCATCAGCTCTTTTACAGTAATCGGCAGATTTAGCATCTAGTTCTGAGGAAAGCTGAAGGAGTACCTAGAATTAAGTAACACCATATAACTAACTTAGAACTATTTTTTGAACTAGCTAGAAATAAGTAATAAGCTTAGCTTGAACTAATATCATATTCTTCTCTCAGTGGCACACACACAAAAAAGCTGGATTTTATTTCCATAGAGATTTTTTTGGGGGGAGTTGAGGGAGTGGTTCATGTACAGGGCAGGAAACGCACATCACAAACTTGCCAGTCTTCATGCATTAATTCAAATTCTAACATTAAAGAAAAAAAAGTACTAGAGTGGAAAGACTTCTTGAATGCAAGTACCATAGAGGGAAGGTAATTGCTTAGAGAAGCTTAGTAGAATACATGTAATACATGTAATACAATAAGGGAAACTAAGAAACCAAATATATTGAAATATTCTAGCAGCTGGTTTCCCTCCTCCTAACCTGTTCTTAAGTAGAGTTTGATAAAAGGCATATTACATTGTATGAAGTTATTATCAAAATGCATTTTTATAACAGATTTTTCCAGTCGTCTTTTCCCCAGGAAAAAAAAGCAAGGGGCAGCAAGGTAACAAGATGGTTAAGAAGGCAATGAGGTAGAACCACCTGTAAAAYAACTTTTATAGAGGTTTTAACCATTTTTCAGTTGGCTTCAAGAGAATAGACAGCCTTGTGCACATACAACTTTAAGATAACATGATTGCATCAGATAGCAAAGTTTATAGACAAAGCTATAAAAAAATTGGCAATACAATTTCCAGAACTCATTCCATCAAGAGAAAACAGTAACAAACACAAATAAATAAAAATCACCACAAACAAGACTATCAGTTGTTTCTCAGAAAGCCATTTAAAAGAGAGTTTCCAATTTTGGATGTATGAGGGGCAGGGAGGGTAGAGAGGGGAAGGAGAAGTGTTTAGAGGTTTCTAAAAAAATTTTTTTTTTTTACCCTTAAGCACAAAAGATAAAGTGTTGTAAATACTTAAAGAATGAACTTAAGTTTTTCTTTTTTTATTTACAACTAGAAAGAAGATATTTCGACAGCTTACAGAAAGTACATTTCTGCTCATTGAAATTATTAGCTTTTTACCTTTACTTTAGGAGTCCAGAAATTAATGAAYTGTAAAAGCTTTTCATTATCTTTCCTCAACCCATCTTTAAGTTCTTCTGCATCACAGCGAGCTCCTGAAAAAGCCTCCCAAAATTGCATCATTTCTTTTCTAGCACTTTCTTCATGCTGTAACTCTGCCTCTATGCAGATGAGTTCACTTTCCATTTCTGATACRTCTTTAAGAAGATCCTTTATGAAAAAAGAAAGAGTAGTTTTATAATGAAGCAATGGCTCAAGTTTAAATAATGCTTTTGTAAATAAAAGTCACACCTAAACGTCCATTTTGGCCTCATATAGTTAAACAGGAGCGTGTGGTAGAGGATGGATGGAAATATCTCAATAAAATGTCATATTTTAAGAGACCTTTTAATATTAGGTACTCTTGTACACCATAAGTGTGTACACCATAAGTGTGTACATAAGTAAATTTTCAGTCCTGTTATTTAATAATTTCATTATGATTCACTTTATAAAATCATAGACTTCACTTATACTAAGTTACTATCACAAGTAGAAATATCAAGTTGGTGATTCCTCCCCTCCGTAGTGAGGTCTGAGCACATAAACRCAATGTCTATTGGACTAGCCCATTTTCACTACCCCAGGTCCTGCAATATGCATATCTACAGATCYGCTTTTATCTGGAGTTTGTTACAAGTCTGCTTCTATCTGGATTTTTTTCTTTTTTAAACAACCAAAAAACAAGAACAACAACAACAAATGCTACCTCTGCATCCAAGCGCAAGTTCTGGGGCAATTCTGTGACATTTAAGCCTTGAGAAGATGTTTCTCCATGGTTCGACCGAGACTTCCYGAGACACTGAATTTGAGTTTGAAGCTCATTTTGCTTTTTCTTTTCCTCTAGCAATTCCATTTCATACTTGTTAACACTGGTATGATAGTCTCCCTTCTTCGAGCAAACACGACTGAAAAGAAACTGTTTTAAGAGCATAACATATATCAGAAGGGCTCAAAGGTAAGATTGCATTCCACAAAGTTATACTATATGGTAAAGAATCCTACTCTTAATATTACAGTTAAATAAGCAAAACTGTAAGRCAAAGAATATAAAGTGTCTGTACRTTCAACATGAAATTGGTACCTTCAATTTGTTTAGTAAACTCTGCAGATGACCATTTATTTTCTCATTTTCAGTCTGAAGTCTTTTGACTTGTTTAATCTGCTCCGATGAAAGCTGAGTCAGTATCCCTGCTATCAGTGCTTTTTGACTATTCAGCTCATTCTTTAGATTAAAAGACATTGTAGAGAGACATTCATATCTCTTCCCCATRGCTGGAAATTTCTCAAGAAGCTCCTAAGTGCACAGTAAACAAATTCAATCACAATAAAGAAAAGGAATGAAGAAATTAACTTAATCAGATGCCACAAAGCTTCAGATTCCAGAACAAGCCCTAGGGCACATATTGCTTTTACAACTGAAAAGTGTAAGACTATGATTTCAGCTTTAACTCATTGTATAAATATAACAAAGACACTTAGACTAAGAGCTGAGGGATTTAGTCCTTCAGAAAAGCACATTTCACAAGTTCCAGTTATTTTTGTGATCTATGCTTTCTATCCACACTAAGACCTACATGTCAAGACAGAGCAGAGTTGYTACCTATGCACATAGCACAGTTCTCCTGTGCTATGAGGACAGGCTCCAAGACAACCTGCTCAGTAGTTTGAGGAAAGAAAGAAATCATGTTTTGTTTGGAACTGTCCTGCAGGCAGGGTGTTCCTAACACTATGTACCTTCTCTTCAAGAAGCATTTGTCAAAATCTTTACCAGAAAAGCTCTCCKTGCCTTCCATAAAGGAAGGTATGACCAGGCACTGAGCAGGCAGAGAAATACAACAGGCACCAAGGCACTTCGTAAACTGCAGCACTGCTCAWTCCAAGTGACATCACGCATTTCAGAGCAAAAAGTCAGTCTCCATTCATCAGCCAGCCCTGCCTCTATTTTCAGTTGTTAGTGAAATAGGATACAGCTATTCCCCCATACTCCTAAAATGAGAGGAGGTTAAATAGTAACTGTCTGCCATCCATAACACAAGACACCTAAGCAAATGGCACAAGAAACATTGCAGCTGATAGAATTAGCCTATTTATGAAAGATCTTTTTTCTTTAAATTAGCTTGTGCCCATGTGGTAAACATGCTTTTGAGCATTTTAAGAGTAGGTAACATTCATGTGGTAAATTCAGCTTATTTTCAATATTTATAAGAGCGTATATTCTTTTGCATACTAAGGCAATAGTGACATCAGTAATATTTTGCAGAAGAAACCACTACAGATAAGCAAATACTATTTATCTCTATACACACAGAATCTTTTATTGCGTGTGTATACTAGTGATTGCTTTGAAAACTCCCTGTTATGACTCAGAAGGCAAACTGCAATTGAGGGTCCTAAATGATGCTGGTTTTATGCCTCCGCTCTCCCCTGTCCATGTGGTACWACCAGGGCCAAGGGAGAAGATCAAGCTACAAACCTACAAATCATTTTCAACTTAGCTTGATATTATTTTATAGGTATTGCTAAATCTTGGTTTACAAGCTTCGATGCAAATAGTACTCRCATCCATAGTGAGGTATACTCAGGACAGCTAATTAACACTGAGGAATTACCATATTTCTGTTATTTTTGGRAAGAGGGTGCTACTCCAAAAAAATTATTAGTGAGGGAACTATTTTGTGATTATGCAAAAACACAATGGTGAGGCACTTCTACATCACCTGTTGCTTTCAGCTGGACAATAACACTATCAAGTGTGACAGCTAAAGGAAGAATTGCATTTCAAGTTATCAGAACAGGATGCACGTTCACTGAACAGTAACATCACACTAATTCAACCTATGACTTGTAGCACTACAGCAAGATGTACTAGCAGWTTTATATGCAGAAGCAAGCTTTAAGCTCCAGATAAAAGGTTTGACATCTACACTTACATAGTTAGAGAAACAGTTTACCTTAATTTTGACTTTCTTTTCCTCCAGGCTGCCATCACATGTCTGTTCTGCACTGTCAAGGGTGTTCACCTGAACTGATAGGTCATGCAGGTTTTTCTGTTTCAGCTGATTCAGAGCACAATCCAGTTTGGCAGTAGTTTCAATCAACTAAAATAAACGCATGAATATTTAAGTACCACCTTAGAAGGTAAGATATCATTAATAAATTAGGTAACCTGCAACACCAACCATCTCAGATTTTTTTTGCGATTCTATCTTGAGACCGTCCCGCTCAGCCTTGACTTCCTGAAGAAGTTTCTGTAGCTCATCTTTTTCTTGATTAATAGATGAGATCTGTTCTTGAAGCTGGAAATCATGATGAGTTCTTTCAGCCAATAACTGGTCTTTTTGACATGATACAGTATTCAGTGTCTCAGTTAACTGCTGGATCTACATTTAGGAGTGAGGAAGAAAAGTTAAATTCYTAATCACTTGCAAAAAGAAATTAAACAAAAACAAAATTAAAAAAGGAACAGCATTACTCTTGTAGTACTGTCTTGTACTTCAGTCAGTTTTGGTCTTTACTAAAGCAAAAACAAAGGAATAGAAGAGGAGTCATCCCATGCCCAGATAAGCTCATCAGGTCCAAAATCAAGGTGAAAAGTATAAATAAACTGATCAAGAAAGAACCAAGCACAGTATGCTTAGAACAAAGTAGTTCAAAAACATCCAAAACATGTAAAAATCCAAGCCCATTTAAGTTCATATTGCTTACAAAGCACCCTTTAAAGCACATATAAAGTTCCTGTTCATTAAGCTTCTATGCACATGTCTGTTCTAATAGAGTAGATAACTCAGTTAACAGGTTAAGGCAAATTAGTGATACTTAGAAATATAGAAACTTGTACATAAGTTTGTTCACATTTCTGCTTGTTATAGCACCTACAAAAGCAACTCACTGAGACTTAATACAAGTACAACCGTACTTGTATTGAGCAAAAGTTTAGTACAAGAATAATATATCATAAAGAAAAACAAATCAGGATACCGAAAAAAGGCAAAAATAAAACCAACCTTGTTTGTGAGGCTGTCCTCTAGAATTTCTGAGCGCCTCTGAACCTTCAGCAATTGTTCCTCTCTTTTTTCAGCTTTGCTTTTCTCCTTGTTGAATAGGTCTTGTTGTTGTTTCAATTCCTTTTCAGTTTCAAGGGCCTGGAATAAAAGGCAGTGTAAATGAAACAGAATTAGGTTCACAACCTGGCTCAGAACTTAAATTTGCCCAAACCTGGCTACTCTATTTCTGGAAATCAATAAATGAAAATATCAAAGCTACAGATGGTCCAAATTATTATCAGATGCCTGAATGAGAGCTACTACACAACAGACTGCAGTATTACACTACCTGACCATTTCACTAAAGAGTCATTAAGCCAAGATACTTGTTAAGAGATGCCTAGTATAGAAGACAGATAAAGAATGCCTAGAGAGCTCATCTGTTTCAGCTTTGGAGTTCAGCTGGAAAGCATATTATTTCACCAAGTTCCTAAGAAAATACTTGTTACATCTTTTGGCGGTCAAACCTGTGTGCTGTCCTTTCCTCATAAAGSAAAACCTAAATATATCATTCTCAGGTAAGACTTCTGAAAGATTAACTTATGTGAAGCTTTATATAGTTCCGTAAGACAATAAAATACACTACTATTCATCAAACAATCAGTTTTACATACCTAGAAAGATAMTAAGAAAGAGAGCTTGGAGAATTAACCACCTTCCCCTCCCTCATAATGACCACAGCTATTTTATGAAATATCAGAGCACCTTCTCAATACTCTCATGTAGGTTCACCTCCAGTTTGTCCTTTTCTGTCTGAATATGTTCCAGCATTTGCTGGAGCTCATCTCTCTCCTGTACTAATACGTAACTCTGTTTCTCCAGTTCTTGAARTTTACTACTGTCACTCTCAGCCTTTTCTCTCATTTCATCCAGCAGCTGGTGTCTTTCCTTAGTTACCAAGTTCAATTCTTGATTCAACTTGCCTATCTATGTAAAAAAACACAAAATTAACAATTAGCAAGAATTCCTCTTCATTCAYAAGAGATATCATTTATTTGACCAGCAGAAACAGTGCATCACAGGTTACTTAGTTCTAAGAGTTGTTTTACTTGCCTTTTGTTTCAGCTCATCTATTTCTTCTATTAGCTTTTTCTCAGTGTTCTGCAGTTTCTCTTCTCTTTCTACTAGCATGATCTTCTGGAGATCAGCTTGCTTTTTCTGTTTCCTTAGTTCTTCCTGTAGATTTTCCATTTCTGTCAGAGTTCGCATACACTGCAGAAAAGTGTTACATGGATAACTCATTTAATATTTATAGTAACTCCAGATAAGCAAAACCTAGACATAATGATTAATATTATCATAAGCAGTATTATATTAGACAAAGACATTTAAGTTTCTAGGAGGGAATTCTCATCAAGATAATATTTCTTCCTCCTGAAAGCAATTTATTCTTACCTGTTACTTCCATCTAAGATCCAAACCTCCAGAGGGGCTATTTTCTTTAAAAATATTTGTCCTAAACACAATGCACCCATCTCCTTAATGGTTTGGCTTTTTCCATGTCAACTCACTGTGGATTAAATAGACTTGAGCCTTTAGCTATCRATAATGCTAAATCACCAGAATCCTTCAGGTGGTAAATGTGAAATTACTGTAAATGAAAGACAAACCTGGGGACTGTTTCTCCAGTAGGTGGCAGACAACTGCCTTAATCCAGAGTGGCAGAGGGGGAAGGAAAAAAAAACCCAAAGATTCCAAAAACCTAAACCAACCAGGGAAGAAGATATTGAAGGACAGAGGGCTTTGTGCCTGAAACATGGACATTCAGAATAGTGTAACCTAGCTTTAAAGTATTAACATTTGAGAGATTTGCTCTTACTTTCTCTTTGCTTTCATGAAAATTTGCCTCTAACTGATCTCTTTCTACTTTAAAGCTTTCTACAATTTGCTGAAGTTCATCTCTCTCTTGGTTAAGKAAAGTGATTCTCTCAAGTTGCTCAGAAAGATGCTCCTTCATTGTTTGTTCAGTTTGCTCTTTTTCAGCCAGTAGCTTGTCATATTCAGAAGAGACACGAGACAGGTTTTCAGTTACTTCTGTGAGCTGTAAGAACAAATAAGGAATAGTATTAGTATAGCTCATGATCTATAGCATGGGTAGAAGTAATTTCCTAATTATAAAGGCCAAAGAAACATAATAAATTAGTATGTTATCATTTCTTCCTAATTCAATTTTGATTTGAGAAAGCTTTATTGGATATTACACAAACATTCCCTATACCCATGGTTTATTGTAATTGCATCATCACACTAACAGAAAACATTTGTGTTCATTTACTGTTATAAGCCAAGAAGAATGTGACAAATTGATTAAGCTTAATCAAATTCCAATGCTTCTGCATCATTGGTAGACCCATTCATTTATTTAAAATCCACAGCTCATTATGAAAAGAAAAACCAAAACAGGCAGATAGGCTTAGTTCTCCTAAGTGTTAGTGTTCTAAAGGCCTCAATAGCTTCACATATTTAAATAATAAAAAGCAGTCATAGACAAATTTTTTAGTTCACAATACCGTACAAAATTCAAGAGCAAGTCAAGCTGTCTTTTAGTTGTTAGAATATTTTCAGAGTTACATAGCTGAAACACAACATAGTATTCAAAGAAAGCAAAATATTTTACAAGACTTGGAAAATATATCAAGGCAATGATATCAATATTTCAGCCTTCAGCACTACAGTATATTTAGTTATGAATAAGGCTTGCAGCTTGCAGTTGTGATTCTAACTGCAGTTCGGTCATCTTTTCATGGCCTTTTTATTCTTATGGCATTCTTCTGGGAAGTAGTCCAGGAATTAAGAGGCGAAAAGCTTTTATGTTACATTACTATACTTTTACTGAACTCTTATAAGTTGAAATCCACCCAGGGTGTGCATTGACAGTTGTGTCAGAACTTGTTTTACTTGAAATAAAACTGTATCTAACCTGCTGCTGCAGTTCATCAGTTTTTTCCCTCGATGCTTCTTGCATTACTAGGAATTGACTTTCTTTCTCTGAAATACTTCCTTTCAGCTCTGCAATTGTCTCCTGATATTCCTTCAGAGAGTTATGAGCACATCTCAACTCTTCCTGCATCTCTGAATTCTTTGGACACAAAACAGTAGAAGCAGATTAAGTGCTGTGTGGGCTTAAAGTCTTTTAAGAAAAAAAAA